TTTTGGCTTGCGTTGCAGGAGTAAGACTACCTTTGTGTTTGTTTCCTTTCATGGCGACCTAATCTCCAGTTTCGGGATGCAGGCCATCCTTGCGACCCGAGTAAACATTCACTGCGAAATCCTAAAGCATATGAATTTCAGTGACTGACAGGCAGAAATGTTCTCGAGTTTATAAACCACAGAACTCAGAATTGGATGCTGCGTCTGCTTCTCTCAGCTAAGCATGCGCATGGGCACAAGCGCAGAAAGCCATGTGGGGTTCGTCTACCAAAAGATTCCAAAACAAAGGCAAAAACCAACAGAGGCACAGCAGCGACACCAGCAGCAGCGAGAATTCCCGCGCACTAAGCAGAAGCTCGTGGCGCCTGTTATTGCTGACTCGGCTAATGCGGCAGCAGAGTGCAGTGGTGAAGACAACAAGCAGATACAGAGGAAGCAGTTGCAGTTGCAGCTGGTCTTGCTTCAGAGACAACTGCAGGAACTTCAGCAGCACCAGCAGCAGCGGCGACATCCCAGTAAGCTGCAGAAGCAGAGGCAACAGTTGTTGAGAGCACTAGAGGTTACAAAGGAGGAGACTCTACAAGTGCTGCAGCTGATGCTGCACCACCAGCAGCAAGGATTGCTGCTGCAGCAGCAGCTGCAGCTAGTCGCGCTGGTGCAGCAAGAGCAAGGAGAGCGTGGTGTATCGCAAGCAAAGCTTATTGAGGGAGCAGCACGGCTATTAGAGCAACAGCATCTTCAGGAACATCAGGAGCTCGTGCAAAAGCTCTCTATGCAATATTGGGAAGAGAGTTGGAGGCAACAAACGCTGCTGAAGGAAGCAACAGCAGCAGTTGCTGTGCAGAGGCTTCCCGCAGCCCCAGTAGGACGGAGCTCTGCACTCGGTAGCAAGGTGCAACAGGTGAGGCAGGAGCTGCGCGAGAAACAAAAGCAGCTGCAGAACCTGGAAGTCATGCAGCTCCAGGACGAGCAAGGGCAGAGAAAGCTGGAGCAGCATCAGCGACACGGTGGGCGGCTGGTGCACCAGAAATCACTANCAACAGCACGGAACCAACGTACAGCAGAAGCAACGACAGCAGTTGCTGTTGCTTAAGGGTATTGCCAGCAGCCGTACCGACAGAATCCTACATTCGTGAGTCCACTTGAAAGTTTTTGTCTATTAGTGACACGAAGTTTAGATGAACGGAACAATCAGGCTGATGTATTCATGATGTAGCCGCCCTTGCTAGCTCATTTGACTGGTGTATCTGTTTGATTGGTGATATAGATGCTGAAGGGATGTGGCTAAACAAGTGGATGTGCTACTGCTGTAGGATCGCCGCTGCTGGGCGGCTGCAGCAAATGGCGCAGATCTTCGCTGCAGCAGTCTCCATGCTGCCGCATCCCGTGTCTTCGCAAAAGGAGGCAATCGCAGCACGACAGCAGCAAAAAATGCCGTGCTGTTGCTCTGGGTGTTGTTATCCCGTGTACCGTGGTAACAATGAGCAACCAGCAGCGGCTGCTGCCCGCGTGGAGCTGATGAGCGCCGCTCACCCTCAGCAGCAGCTGCTACTGCTTCGCCGCATATTTTCTGCTTTTCAAGTAGACCAGCTGCTAGAACGAGGATCGCTGATGCAAGAGCAGCAGCAACAGGCAATTACAGCAGCCCGTGCAGAAGCACTCCTGGTACACTTTAGAGACGTCAGTGTCCAGGGTTCCGACATCGACGCACGCACTACACCGGCAGGAACTGCAGCAGGAAAGGAAAATGCCGCCATAAATATGCCGTACCAGTGCCCTTGTAGGCAGCAAAACCGGTGTATCGGACTCAGCAGCGGCGCCACCAACAACAGCAGTAACTGTACAGTATGCATTTGTGGGGCGGCGGCTGCTTTGGCTGACCTTTTACCCTCGATTCCCTGTTCCAGGGGTTACGGGGTGGAGCTGCAGTTTTGCTGCCAAGGGCAGCAACAGCTGCANCGAAAGAGATTATGTCGCCCCATCAGGCGTCATGGGCCATCTGCAGATTCAACGACAGCTGCTTCGACAACAGCACCAGTAACGAAGATGCCTTCTGGGCGCCTTCCCACGAAGTACGACAGCGACGCAAGAAGTAGGGGAGGAGCAGGCTGTGATACAAGCAGCAGTGTTGTGGTCATTTTGCCTTGTCTGTCTCCTCTGTGCTCCGCTTGCTGTTACGGCGATTCGCTGCTTCTCCAGCTACTGCGGTGCAGCTTCCCACTGGCGGTGCAGCAGCAACTGTTGCAGCAGGAGGTGGTCATGCAACAGCGAATGCCACTAATAACCGTAAGTGCTGAAGTGCTTTCGTAGAGGAACTTTTCCTTTCGCCTTGTTGCAGTGCGCAGTTCCTTTTTTGTAGCATGGACGCAGGGGCACTAAAGTACAGCATGACGTAGTGCTATACTTCATTACTCCTGCGGAGTGCGCGGTGCAGGTAATCGATAAACAAGAGCAACAGCAGCTGGAGCAAAAATGCATGCAAGACTGGAAAGAAGCAAAAATGGCTAACCTGGACCTATCCGCTGTGCCGGTAGCAGGGGCCCAAGCCAACATCAGAAGAGGCATGGTGGAGTGCCCTTTGGAGGATACATTTGATGCACTGCAGCTGCTGCAGCAGCAACTGCAGCAGGACCACTCTCAGCCCATGCAGGTGCAACATGAGCTTGGCTATGGTGTTACTTCGGAGACGAACTGTTTGGAGGCAGCATTTCGCCGTCATTTCGAGAAGCTTCTGGAGGTACAGAGGCACAAAATGCACCTGCGGGGCCCGGCGCGTTTAAGGGATCAAGGACAAGCGCCTGAATCAGTAGGGCACAGCGACGAGGAAGATGAGGCAATACGCCAAAAAAGAATCAACCTCTCGGTTGTTGTGTCCCCTACGTCGTGTAAACAGGAACGTGCTGGAACTCCCTTTCAGCGACAATCAAAAAGGCCGCGACGTTCTAAGACACTTCCCGGACTATCTGAGAGTTTACATGTAGTAGCAGACGCAGCATTACCGACTATAGGGGATGGCTCAACAGCATCAGCTGGGAGTGACTTCAGCAGTGCCTGCTGCAATGAAGCAAGAGTGCCCGTCACTATTTCAGACGATGCCGACGGATCAAAGGCAACGGTGGCGATACGGCTGCACCCCCATGAGGCGCAGCTGCTGCGCGCATGTGCAGTTGCCGCAGTGAAGCCGACCAAGTTTTCATGCAAGAGGGCTCTGCAGCTTCTAATGCAGCAGCGTCGGCTGCTACAGCAGCACCAGAGTGAAGGCGACAAGGTGGAGTATGTGTCTCCACGGACGGCCGGTCGGGACGAGCGCAGATGGGTACCTAACACGGCATCGAGTCTCCAGTTGATGTCAAGTAATGCAACGTGGTCGGCGTTTTCTGACTCTGATTGCTGCAGTACCCACAGTAGCCGATCCACGTGTACCAGTAGAAGCGGAAAGGGGACGGCTGGTCGACGTTCAGCGCTCATAGCTGTGGCGGAGGAGCAGCTGCAGCAGGTCAGGAGGCACTTGGTGGAAACGCAGACAGCGTTGAGACAGCAACTGCTTCTGAAGCTGCTGCAGAGGGACTTTTCCGACCATCGTGTCACAAACGCATCAAGCATGGAGAAGGGCACAGTCCCCGTGGCCAGCAGCAGCTGCAGCTGTTCTCCGCAGCTGCATCTAGAGCAGCAGGAGGTACTCTTTAAGGGGGGCAAGGGCAGCTGCATGTGGTGGAGACAGTATTACATGCTCCTCGGCGAGCTTGCAGTATTGAAAGAAAAGGCCCTCTACAAGGCGATCGACATCTGCCTACAGGAACAGCAGTCTCCCGTCTCGCAGGCGCTGCGGGGGACGCAGCAGCAAGTGCAGCAGCAGCAACTGCAACGGCCTCGTGAAGAGCAAGTTAAAGGAACGTCTGTTTCGGCGAACAAAACATTAGTAGCGGACGGGGATGAGCCAAACATCCTCAAGACCAGCGGCATGGGTTGTCGGTTGTCAGACCCTCTGCTGCAGTCGCCATTGGCTCCTCGGAAACGCCGGTCTCAGGGGGGATTTTGAATGCATGAATGCTTCTCGAGCAAACGCATTGAGGGATGATTATTTACGGTTAAAGACTCGGCAAAGTGCCTCCTTTAACGTCTTAGTAAGCGTACATACTCATGGAAATGCCTGTCGTTNGTCGTTTTTGCTGCAACTACAGAAGGTTCGAGCTGCTAGATTAAGCGGTAACTTGATTCTTGTTTGCTCTGGTAGCATTGGTCGTCTATTCACTACAGGAGGTTTGCAGGTGCTTGTTGCGCACAGTAGTTTACTCGTCCTCAGCGGCGGACGCACTGGCCACCGCGCTGGTTCCGTCATAATTTTAGCAAAGGGGGTAGTCCCCCACTGCCGCAGTGCCATAGTAGCCCGATACCACCACAAAGAAAAAGACAGCATGTTGGTATGTGGCCAGAATGTGCTGGTGCTGAAGAGAGTGTGTGAAGCGTAAGTGTCCTCCAGAGGGCCCTCGTGCTCTGCGTGGGCCTATGTGGCATTGCCTTTGGGTATTGCGCTCCTGCCACAGAATACTGCAAGCACTGGCACAGTAGCGGGGTATTTTTTGCAGAAGCAAGCAGCTTGAGGAAGCTGCTAGAGACTAGGAACAGGCACTTCTGCTTCGAGCCGTTAACGGCTTGCGCTTGCGGTCATCGTCGGACCTGGAGTTGCTCGTGGCAGCTCCGACGTCACTTTGTTACGAAGGGCAGGAAGGCTCGGTGAAGGGAACAGAGGAATATACGTGCAGAGGCGGATATCGCTTCGGCTAGCCCCCAAATGGTCCTGGCGGCATCACTGGCCAAGAAAAGTCCTTGACGTTGGAGCAGCTGCCCCCGTATCTTTCTGCACAGCACATGCACACACGCCCAAAAGCAGCGAGTAGCTAACGGTGAATCCGATGTTGTCGAGAATCCATTCAACTAAAACGCAGTGCAACGCGTGCAGGAATGGCGGAGCCACCCGTGCCTACCTTCAATTTGATTCTGATTAACTGATGCCAGGAAGTCATCCTGCGAAATCAAATCAAACATCGAGCTGCAAGATGTCGGGGACATGCGTTATTGGTGGTCAAATAAGTACTTTTTGTACGTGAATATGCTTCCCAAGCTTATGTCCGGTCAGTCATACGTAAGAGTGCACAACCGTTTGACAAGACCGAGCCATGCCCCCCAAACCAGAGGAGTTGCTTACATCAGTGCACGACGGCGTCAACTTTATCTTCGACTTTGTCCTCTCTGGGAGAACTACAGACACCAGCTGCCATATACTTCGGAATACAAAGCCGGCGTTCAGGATCAGCATCCCATAAAGCCTACCGCGGTAGTTTCTCTGCGAAACGCACCAAGTCGCACGAGGTCCCTTCTCCAGGGAACCGGGTAGATGCAGCGCGACAGAATCCGTCTTGTAAGAGCAGCAACAAAAAGTGTGGAATTCATGTTACAAATGAGTCGACTAGGGTGTTGGCTGCTCTTTGTAGATGGGGCCCTAATGTTGCTATCACTGGTGCTTGTGCTCGACAGGAA